CTCCAGCCCCTGGAGAACTGGCCAGGAGACTGGCGACTGGGTTTCTCTTGTCTGCTTCTGGGTCTTTCCTCCTCTTTCCCCCATATCCAAGGAAGCAGCCAAAAAGACCCTCAGATTGTCCCTGGGAAACTCAGGGTTGAAGAAAACAGAGAAGCTAGCTGGCTGGTAGCTTCCCAGTCCTGCTGAGATAGGAGTTTCTGGAAAGATACAAATCAGCTCTCTTTAATTCTGACAGTTGCCTTGGAGGTTAAGTTTTATCTTAAAGTCTTAAAGGTGAGCCCTAGTTTTCCGTGATTTGCTGAAGATGTTCATGAATTTCCAAAAACTCCACCCACCTTATTATGGGCATCTTAGAGGGAAGAGCAGGTTGGAAAGTGACTGTTGCTATAGGATCTGCCTTCCCTAGGGCGCCCTACAGAACTGTCCTGAGGACCTCAGCCCTCTAGTAGACCCCCTTCCCCCCTTGTAAGACTGAACATCTTTACAAGGAAAAATGGTGGGAGCAGGGAGAGATGTTGATTAGAAACTGCATCTGCCCTCCCAAGGAGCTTAGGGAGAACCTGAGGAGGGCGGCTACTTCAACCTGGGGAGAACTAAGGGGAGCCCAGTCGCTTCTGTGTTGAGCGCCTACTTTATTTTTATTTTTATTATTGACAAGGCAACCTTTGGCTAAAAAGAGGAGCGTCGGTGATGGGCAAGCAGCAGTGCAAAGACTTGGCCAAGGAAATTTACCTCCGCATGCTCTAGGGAGGCAGGGAGGGAATCCGGAGATGAGCAGCTCCCTAGTACCACTACTAAAGGACAGATTATTTGGAGAAAACCAGGATGAAAAGGGATCACCGTCCTTTTAGGAGTGTAGTCCTTCTGGGTCAACCCCTCTCCTCTTTTTCCACTTACAGGCTCTATTGCTCAGGGACCAGCCAGTTAATTTAGACTCTGGGTTACAGTCACCTGATACCCCAGGACCTGGCTGGGTCACCCAGGGGGCAGATTGGTGGTTCACATCCCCTCACCCAACACCTCCCCCGTGGCTCATCCTTCTTCCTCTTTGAAGATAGAAGGAAAGAAGACTGAAATGTCCCTCTGACCTGCAGTTTTAGGAAAGCTGGAGTTATTGCAGTCCTGAGTAACACAGTTCCTGTCGGCAAGGTTCTAGGGAAGGGCGCCCCGTTTGGGGAGAAATGGATGCATAGGAATCTAAGCGCAAAGGCGCTTAAGGAACCTGTTGCTGGGAGGTCTGGCTGCTGTGAAAATACACACACGCGCGCGCGCGCACATACACATGCACACGCACACCCAAACAGTCCAAAGGCCACACTTACTCAAATATTTATTGTGCGTCTCGGAGGCAGTCTGTTACTTGGAACCTCCTTCTCTTTGCCCTGTTGCTGTCCAGCCCAACGCCTGTGCTGAGACTCAGGTTTACCTGGCGTTCCCTTTCAAAGGAAACTGACTGGGAAAACAAAGAACAAACTCTCAATGCCGCGGGGAAAAGTGCGAATCACCGGAGAAACGAGGAGTGTCTGGGAGCCCTGGGAGCCTGGACCTCAGTGTCCCACCTGGGACGGAGGTCCGCGGACCGCCTCTGGCAAACAGAAAGAAGCTAGTATCCTATCTACAGATCACCTCGGTAGACAACACTGCCCAGGGCTGAGATCTTGGGGAGAATGTGTCACCCTGCTGAAAAGTTTTAGACCGGTCCCCCACTTTGCTAAGGACTTTGAAGTAGGGAGGCTTGGGTCCTTAACTCCTCAGGGAGAAAGAGTGCATCAGCCATCACACACCCCTACACACACACACTCCTTAGAGACTGATCTCACTAGAAATGTTTGCACAGTGCCACGGAGCTCTTTTCCATAAGCCGCCCTGTGCAGACTCTGGGCTTGTGTCCCCACTCACCCGTGTAGAAGGAGGGGAGATCAGTGGGCCCCGCGGGGGAAATTGAGCCCAGTGTCTGTCTGGGACTCTGCTAGAAAGAGGGTGGGGGTCCCAGATTCGGACTTCCCCAGGATTCTCTTGGGATCCACTCGCAGCTCTGTGTCTGCTCCGGGCAGCAGATCTTGCATTAAAATTGGTACCCAAAAGCTCTCTAAGTTGTGAAGCGCCTTCAGTCGCCCGCCTGGCATCTTGGCCTTCGCCCTTTCTATCCTCAACCCCCAAGAGATTGCAGACCCCAGCGGTTAGTTCCTGGCAGAAAGCTCTGACTGAAACTGAGCAACCTGCCTCAATTTCCCCAGTACCTGAACTTCCTGACAGAGCAGGACCCTTTCCCTGACTACCCCTGGCTGAGGGTTCCAGGCCCTGAGACTCGCAAGCATCTTCCTGGGTCAGGTCAGGGAGGAGGGGTCTGGGCGACTGGAGGGGGTCAGTCACAGTGGGTTGCACCCCTGAAAGGTGGGTGGGGAGTGGGCGCTCCAAGCCCTGGAAGTCAGGCCCAGCAACTCTCAAACTGAAGGTGCCCACGCGCCGGGCTTGGCACGCCAGGCAACTCTTGGCATAGGGGGTACTAAAAGGGGGCCTTTTCCAGACCTCAGTCTCCCAATTCTGCACAAAACAGAACCGTCGGCGCTCATCAGCCGCATCTTCCCTAATCCACCCCACGCCCATTCCCTATAGACACACACTTCCCAGGTTCCCCTAGTCAGGCTGCGCAGAGTTGGATCCCTACAGGAGGGAACATCATATAGGAATTCCTGCAGAGATAAATCTCAGCCCCAAAGCGATCCTAAGGGCGTGGAACGCAGCCCCGCCACCATCCCCCCCTGCCCCACCGCTGAGAAAGGTTCCCGACGTTTCTTAGAGTTCCAGATAGTTTCTGGGCTTTTGGCGCCCCCTCTGGATACTGCTGAAAACTGCAGTGTATTTTTAATTCCACTGTTTTACAAGTTTTCTAAAAGGATTCAAGAATATAAAATCCTTGCATCAAGCGGCGGAAACATGTAAGAGCATCATAGTTTATGACTGTAAATGTTTCTATACTTTCCATCTCATTATATATTGTATTAAGGGTATATTTATGCATGCATTTATTTTTGGACAAATACTTAATAAAATATTCCAAAATATCTTAAAGTCAAAATCATTTTCGTTGTCTTTGTGCCAATAAACGTGATAATTACAACAATTCGGACCCTTTGGTTTAATACATCTGCCCAGTGGTCTCTGGACTCTTGAATCCGGTGTCTGCAAATTACAGTAATACGCACAAACTTCTCTTCCCTATGACACAGAAATGTATCCATGGTAAAAGGAGACATGTCCCCCCGACCCCCCAAAAGGGCCGAGTTGTTGTTTTTTTTTTCTTACACGTTTCGAGAGCAGTCGGAACTACGAATACACGCTTATTGTTTGCACGTCTCTTAAACTCGTAACAAACTATACAGTGCTAGTAACATTCGTTCGAAAAGAAAATCCTATTGACCTGGGTTGTGACCTGCCACTGTATCAGGAATTACTCTTCCTATAACAAATGTCACTTTGGAAGAAAACCACAGAAAATGAGATTTTCAAAAACATATCAAATAAAAGACTCGTTTAAATCTAAGTGTCCACAGTTGGTAAATGAGGGGGAAAACCTGTCTTTGATAAGATGTGGGCCGATTCACAGTATCAATAATTTAATAAGTTCAAAGTGAAGTTTCGCAAGAACCATAAAAGGAGAATTTTAAATTAAGGGTTTTGGTTTTTTGTTTTAACACAGCTGTGCGTTTATTTGTGGTTCTGAGGGCATGTCACCCGCAGGCAACTAAGATTTTTCTTTCGTTCCAGAACAGATAGCTCCTCACTTATCTAACCTGACTGTAAGAGTTATCATAAACGCCAAGGTTGGGTTTAGAGCACTCCTGAAGTACCGGGACATCTCCGCGGCCTCCCCCAGAACGCCCACCTGTTCGCAGGTCTGAAAAGACGTGACTAAAGTCCGGACACCTAGCGCTTCTCTTCGCCCTTCCAGGTGTCTCCAGAAGGAGGCCCAGGCATAAGAGCCCAAAGGCTCCGCCAAAGCAGCCCGTTTTGTCTGGCGTTCTACAGTCCAAGTGACGGGCCTCGGCCTCGGCCACCTTTGCAAACTTCGGTCTCAAAGCCAAAGCAGTTTGCAAACGCCAGTGGCAACCCCGCTGATGTTTGTGGATCAGCCAGGAGGCACAGCAAAACTCTAAAGTAATAACCCTGCCATTGAGGGGTGTCCATGGGCTGCAGAGGCTGGAAGAGGACTTGTCAGAGTTCAAGGTCGGTGTGGCCCGCGGAGAGCCGGGGACCGCGATGTCCCCACAGCCGCCAGCCTTCCGGAGGGCTCGGCTTTGGTTTTCATTGATTCCGTCTGCGAGAGCGCAGCCGAGTCTCCAACCGCCGAACCAGCCTCGGCGAAACAGAGCATGTTAATCTATTTATATGGATTATTGCAGAGGAACAGAGGGCGTTGAGTCACCCAGACATTTGCTTCCAAAGACCATTTCTAAGCGCTTTCTGGAAGCGAGGAGACTCCGAGCGCATAAACCCGGCTATGCTTTAAGGAGAGGCTTGCTGTAATTCCAACGCTCCACCAAAGTCCTGGGTACAGCAGACAGCAGCGAAAAGGAATGGTGCGTGTGCGTGTGCGCGTGTGCGTGTGCGTGTGTTTGGAGAGGGGTGTCCTAGTCTAGACGAGCGCGCCGGCACACACACACACACACACACACACACACACACACACACACGCACGCAC